AAACACATGTCACATGCCAACTTTACTTCATTTTTTTCCTCAGGGAATAGATACATCTGGAATCATAATCACAGATAAAAACCTTGACAAAATTGCACATGAGCCCAGCCCTTCCCTCCAACACCTACCTTTTCATAATATTTAATACAATATTAATATCGGTTACTAAAAAGGCTTCCAACCTTTACATTTCTGACATAACATGTTCAAACCCATATTTCACACTTCCTGTTCTGTTTTAAGTTCAGTGGATTTAACAGGACTCTGGAGAGAAGATCATGTGGTTGAAGATTTCCCTCCCTCCTTGACACCCGTAGAGGCAGATTTGGAATTGTTTAAATAGCTATGGTTCTATAAACTAAAATATGTCAGATCATGGGCATCTTCTTTCTCACTCATATCTTTAGATAAATACTTGCATTTTTATCCCAAATCTATTGCTTGTACCAGTGACAATTTCAACACAACTGGGCAAAACATTCTGAATATTTTTCTTTGAAAGTGTATTATTTTTCTTTCCTGCATATTCCTGGTTTACCAGGCAAATACAATTAGCTAATATTATATAATAATATTTTTGGTCTTTTTTATCTGTGATTGACAGTTTTTCAAATCAAAATAAAATACATTCTTAGTTGATCATCTTCTTGAAAGCGCACTACTGTTTTCAGCTTGGTTTGCTTCTGAGACAGCCAGAGATCTTATTCAATCACGAGTAAATGCTGAAATTATAGATCCAACAGATTCCATACTCTCCCCAAAACACTTGGCTTAGGCAATATTTAATAGCTAATTCCTGGACTGATATTTTTGTAGCAGGCCTTTATAAAACATTTATCAGCTGGTATTGCAAAGAAAGGGAATTTGAGAACTTTGCAAATTTTCATTTATTATTGTGTTTGTAATTAATACCATGCTCAAAGTACCTCAGGCAGCTCACTGTATGGCTTTGTTCATGTCAGAATGCTGATAGCAACCTCGTTTTGTTACATATTTAACAGCTTTGAAAGACATTTTTTTAAACAGCAAATGCACTAGACAGCTTTAAAGCAAAGGACATTAAATAGGTTGCCAATTATTCACTCAGCAGCTCTATGTGCGTCAAAAAAATGCATACCACCAAATTTTCCTGAGACAAACCACTTAAATTTCCTGCAACTCATCCACCATTTTTGCACTAACTGGATAAGGATAGCAATAATTTAGAAAAAGAAACAGACAGGAAATGTTCCTTACCCTGGAATACTGAAAAAATCCTTTAAAATATGTTTATTTACAGTTAGGGAACAGCATATGTGACAGGAAAGGTCCTGTTTTTAAACTGAAAAGTGTTTCTTAATAAGATTATTTCATTATTCCCCTTCACTTTAAAACGGCCCAAAGTGTCTAACTCAGTTTATAAGAAGTGCAGAAAAGAAATGTGAATGGAGTGAATCGTTTCAAGTCAGTCCATAGAGCAAATGAATCTGAAGCTTCCTAGTCTGTCTCCGGCAAGTCCGGGAGAAGAAGAGCTGAGCTGAGCCCCACTTGCTGACAAGAAGCAAACTGTCTCACATTTTAGGAGAACAACATCATTGCCTATAAAAATGAAGAAGAGACAAAATAAATAAAACCAGTTAATGTTGTAGTTAACTTGCAAATCAAGTAAATTTGTTGGTACAGTATTGTAGAAATAAACGATAACAACATCACACCAAACACACATTTCTGAACATAGAAGCTTTCTGATTTTGATTTAATGGTATATCAGCGTCAACTATTGCTTCCTTTGCTGGTACACACTTCCTGATGCCTACTGTGAAGGGTGCCCATATTTACAACTGAGTAAGATGATTAATTACACCTTGTCAATCACGGTGCATGAAGACATAACACCACAGCAGACAATGAAGATGATGCCTGAAGCTACAATTACATTTTAATTCATAGTTTATTGTATGTACCCATATATTGCAGACTAATAACCATAGGGGCATCAAAAACATATGAGATATCAATCACTCTGCCCCCTGGTCTTTCATGTTTGTATTATTCCACAGCCTTTAAATTACCGTAAGTAGTTACTTATTTTCTAAGCTTTCTTCTCTTCTCTCTTACCTTTTGCTTCCATTTATCTTTTATTCTTAGTACCTTTATCCAACAGTTATAAGTATTTGATGGATGTTTGCGGCTCACTTAAAATCTGTAACAGACAACCTGAAACCCAGCAATTAGCAAAGACAGCTTAGACTTGTGTTCCTTTGTTGAAGGAGGCGTTGAATCTTTTGTTCTGATTTAGTCACGGTAACTGGGTGGAAGCTGGTACCTCATTATGTGGTTGGTCTGTTTGTCTGGTAGGTAGCAGATGGTACTGAAGATGACGTTACCAAGAGAGGCAGGGTAGAGAAACTCAAGACCTGTGATTTGTTCACCTGTCACCTATAACAAAATAGAGGTTAAAAGACTTTATTATTACCTGCACTATTTTTTAAATGAAAAAAACCTCCCAATTTGAATGAGTCTGCATTTGATTCCCAAGCCGATTTTGCCATCACAATTTTTCTGTTGCTCATTATTCAAGAATATCCAGGATTTTATTCAGAACAATGTAAATGTCATTCATGTGTCAGTGTGTACATTAGCAGCTTTGTGTTTACATTTGGTTACTCTCCTTGTGTTTTGGTAGCAAGGGTTGGATGTCTTCTTGTGTTTGTATATCCATTAAGCAGATAATCAGAGGTAGCCTGTGAACTGGAGGTCATGCCATACCTTTTTAACAGGCTACTGGTATTATTGGTCCCAACCACCTAGGCAATACTGTTGCACAAAATATTGTGTTTTAATTCCATAAATTATATACAATCTTTTTGATAATTAGCAATGTCAGACAGAGCCTAGGAATCCGTGACCTTTCTTAACTGCAAAATATATGCAATCAATTGTGTGATAAGAAATCATGCTGGTACTGAAGTATCTAGGGATCTGACAATATGCAGCTACAGATCAGCATCTCTATGGCAAATTGTTCCAGGAAGGTAACCCAGTGGTGTTCCACAGTGATGTAGGTGGTGTCTGGAGAGCCATAGGCCACATCTCTGTTACTGGAGGCAAATATCCCATCACAGAGGGTATTTGAAATGTCTTGCAATTTAATAGAGCTAAAGATTATTTTATCAAGGTAAATACTAGACAGCTCCACTAATTGTATTGCAGGATTCTAATCTGAACTAAAACATGAACTTCCATTGTTTCCAAGGTTGGGTTTTAGGACAGTCTCCACAGATGCCAAATTAGCTTGCATTTTGTATGGCTTCTTGAGGGATCTTGTGGCTATTTCGTATGCATTTCTACAAGAGAGACTTTGTTCTGCTCTGTGACATGCAAATGTATTGATCTACTCCGAGCAATCCCAACAGAAATATAATAAAAAGCCTGGATTATTGTGGGAAGGCAACACGAGAAACCAGCAAAGTTTGCCTATCAGCAGAGTAATTCCAGTTTTAGTGAAGATAGTCTGAATTGTGCTGCACCTGTAGGAGGCAAATCAGCCTGTCAGAAGCCCCCAGCAGTGATGCAGTACGTGATGTCACAACATGCAGCCAGCTCAGGTGTGCATCTGATTCACTTCCCATTGGGCTCCCTCTTCTAAGATAATTAGAAGTGTGATATTTGACATCTTTAATACTAATTAGTCCTTCCTTACTACCCACCTTCTGGGTAAATATTTAGACATCACAAACAGTTTCCCTGTGCACTCTTTGTCTTTTCTGGAGACTTCCTGAAGCTTCTTCTCAAGTTCAGAGACCTTCCTGGCCTAGTTCTCTTACAGCCTAGTGGGAAACCGGGGAGCCAAGGGGCTGTGCTCAGTGCGAGGCTTCAGGAACTGGGCTGACACAAGCGATTATATTCCAAGGGTGAACATGTTTCACAATGAGTGTTGTTGGGTGCATTCATTTACTAATAAATGCTGTGGGTATCGTAATTCCGGAGTGTAACGAAACTTTTGACCCACCCCCCCACACACACTTCTCCCGCGCGGGGGGCATTTCTCCCC